CGGGTGGGGCTAAAAAATGATTTCCACTAATTGTCGAAAATAGTTGAGTGGTCAAGTGCCAAAATTAGTTTTATCTTATCAAGTACTAGCCCCGCCCACCCACCCTCTATTTTCTTGGAGGTCATGCGATTTGCCAAAATCGGTCTTATCTTAGCAAGTACTAGCTAGCTAAGATAAAAGTGATTTTGGCAAATGACATACCCTCTAATAAAAAAGAGGGTGGGTGGGCGGGGCTAGTAGCTGCTACAATAACAGGAATGCCTGAAACCTTAAGATTGTTTTAAACTAAAAAAAAACGGGGTCCCAAAATTAACTCAAAAACAGGTCAGGTCAGAATTTTCTGGCTCCCAAAATAATACACAGTGCGGAACTTAAGACTTTTTCAAAAAGTAAAACACTAAAAGCTCAAAAGGTTTTTTCATCCGGCAACACTTTGGTATTTTTGGAATCTCTGGAATATTTACAATCTCCAAGAATTATAAAATAATAATTAGTGTGTTTAAGGCCTTCAGTGCTTTTAGGATTTATAAAAGCATTTTTCCTATCTTTACGATTTTTGGGTCTTAGATTTTTGTTTTCTTTAAAGTCTTTGGAGTTTTTAAAATCTTTGGCATTTTACGAGTTCACGCGATTTTTACAAATTTTAGAATCTTTCGCTTTTTTGAATTTCTCTAGAACGTTTAGAATCCTTCAAGTATTCGAAAGAGAATTTTAGTCTTTAACCCCTTAGAGTCCTTAGACGCTGTAGAGCCTTTAAAATCTTTAGTCTTTGAAATATTTAGTCTTTGCACTCTTTAGAGTCTTTCCAATCTATGGAAATTTTGAACACTTTGGGAATTACTAGAAGTTTTATAAAGCCTAAAATTTCTCCAATTTCTAGGATCATTAGTAGCACCAGGTTCTTTAAAATTTTTAAGATTTTATTGGATCTTTTTTATATTTGGAATATTAGAACTTTAGTTTATTTAGAATCTTAAGTGTATTTACATTCACAAGTTCTAGTATGTGTAATCCGTGAAAGCTTTCATACTTTTTGAATCTTTCAAACCACTGGAAACTTTGGAATCTTTAGAATCTCTAGAATCTAGAATCACTAGAATTTCTAGAGGCTTCAAATTTTCATTAGAAGTATCTTTAGAATTTTAAATATTTTTAGATTTTTAGGATTTTTATCATCTTTCCAATTTTCTGTCGAATCTTCGGAATTTTTTAAATCCCTGACATCCCTTTAGAATTTTTAAATTGCCGGCTTTTCTGGCTTTTTTAAATTTTTTGAAATTCCTGAAATCTTTGTAGTCTTCAAAGTTTTTGGCATCCTTGCAAGCCTTAAAACCTTTGAAAGGGTTAGAATATTTGGGACTTTCACAACATTTGGAATTTTTCCACAAATTCGGTCAGAATTTTAAAATTTCTGTAATTTCTAGAATTAAAATTGACATATTGTCAAGACCTATTTTACGGTTGGCGCACAAGTGACCAACACCCACAATAAACAGTAATCTGGCCTAACTTACCCTGACTTGCCCTGACTGGACCTGGCCTAAGCTGACTTTATCTTAATTGACTCCTGACTGACATAACGCTGACTTGGTCTGACCTTACCTGACCAGTCATGACGATCATTTTAGAGTCCACAGCATTGTGAATGATGTTGCTTTGAAATAAGAGTATTTTATAGTTCCAAAGGTATCAAAAACATGTTATTATGAAACATTGACGTAAGCCTTGTATTACACACATCGTGTATGTTGTACACCTTATTTGGTGTATTGAATTTTCACTTCCACGTACACACTTATTAAAACCGACCTTTTAACCTAGAAAGTATCAAATTTTTTGTGTACCTCACATAACTATCGCGCCTATTAATTAAATATGTCCATACCACGTCCTTCCGTATTGATTACAGCCCACACAATGGTTTGGGTGTATTTACTCATCGCAGCAAACACAATAATAACCGAACGTAATAACACACTTACAGATATAGATTTTCGCTTGTTCGCTTGTCCGTCACACAATTACACACATCAGAAAACAAATTATGGCGCTTCTGTTTATCGGCAATTATATCGTCGTTTCCCGTTGTTCGCTTTTTCCTTCGTAAAAAAACCCGAATCTGTATTATCCCGTGACAAATACGAACCGAGAGGATTGAAAAACGAATTCATAGGGCTTTTGGCGTGTCCCAAGTCGCGATGCGCTCGTAAATTGCAATCTCCCGCTCCGTGTAAATTAAACTCCGAATTAATGAACCTGTAACGTTTATATCACGTTGCAGTTTTCCATTCAGATTTATTCGAATACGACCTGGATTAAAAATTCGACCAAACAGATATGGCGGTCTCGGTGTTTGTGTTCCTGCTGTCTGGACGAGGTTGTTACTCGCCGGATTTATTATCCATGGGACGACCTAATCGCATTAGGACCGATTAAAAATATATATAATTGATACAAAACCCAATAATGCGATGCAAATTGCGTTTCCGTTATATTATAAAGCCGCGTTTGTAGATTTGAATAATAAATTAAAGGGTTAATTGGGGCGGCATGATACCGCCGAAACTGTATCTGGGATTAAATCACACGCCGCCGCCGATGGCGGCTAGCTGCTAGATTGACGTAATAAACTTGCTCGCTGGATGCGCTGATGAAGGTCTTCTTGCCCAGAAAATGCACAAACCGTTTAAACCAAATTAGATCGTTTAAATTTCCCGCCTGGGGCGGGAATCTCAAACGCTGGAAAACAAATCTTGAGTTCGCTGCGAGAAATTGGGGGAACGAACATCGGCTTCTTGTTTCTATCGTTAAAAATCTTTTATGAAAACACAGTTATAATTATTTTGTGGTTATTATTTTCGTTAATAATTAATTGAAAGAAACCTTTGTTATCTATATTCAATACGAACGTATTGTGTTTTGATTATTTCGTTAAATAAGCTTACAACAAATTGTAAATATGGTGGAACGTTATGGTACGAGGTCGTAGCTAATTCGTTTAATGTACAACCAGAATCCACTTTTGTGTAAAGAGTAAATGGAGAGCAAAAAGTCGATATTTAATTAAGTGCAACCATAAAATACGTCTATATTGAAAAAGGCTTTATCATCATAACTTCGTATTTGATTCTTTACTGTACTACACAGGTCACTGCTTCATTATGAACAACGCTACATGTTGTCGTTCTAAATTCATATTAGGTGCCTTTATTTATTTATTGCACTAATACACCTATAATTGAGATCCATCGTTAACGAGCAATTATTTTCAACCTGTAAACACGAGCAGCGTTAGTTCGCACGAATATGTTATATTTTTTGACGCATATTATTTCAACGGTGTTGTTATTTTTTGTTGAACGCTAACTAAAAAGCAAAAATTAATTGAAGCTAAACATTATTTTCATGTTCCATTAAGCAAAAAGAACAACAGCATCACACCTACATTTTCACAGGAACGGGATATTTTGTATAAATATTGTATATTGTGCACCGGTTCTTCTCCGGTCGATAATTCTTCAGGTCATTGTTTCCGCCGTACTTACGCAGTATTGTCAGTTGATACATAAGTGATCCTAAAAATCTTTCCAGTGTACTTCTTGCCACGACCCCTCGCTCTCGCTCCAAGACGGTGCCCCCCCCCCCCTTCGTCGGTCGGAATTCAGGCATATCTGTGCCAGCATAAAACTCTCGCCGGAACTTCGGCCTCGTAAAGGGGTTAGAGTTTTGAGGGCAAAAACAGATGGTCTAATAAAAAATGTTCCGGAACGCCGTTTGTAGTGGTCTGTGTGTTGAAATCGTCGAGTCGGCAAGGCAAAGACGGCACACTCGTGTTCTTAATCGGTTAAATATTCAGCTTCTTGGTCCGTGAAAGATGTGCGGCCGTGCTTTTATTAGGAAGTTAGTTAGTTTGTGAGATGTGGGTTGCGCTGCGGCGGCGGCCCGTCCACCCGGGGAGTCGTAATTCATCCCTGTTAAGCCCGTGCGGTCGCCGGAGTCCGGCCGAACCACGACCATTGCCATTGATTGGCACGGAATCGCGTCAACTTATCCTACGGGGACATTAATAATGCACCCGCGGGGAATCCGTTATAAAGCTCGTAAATCCCGTGTATAGAGGTGTGCGCGGGGGCGGCGTGATTTGGCGGCCAGGAGCGGCGCAGGGACCGGTGCAGTGCGAAGCGAGAGGATTTAATAAAATTAGTGTCGAAACATTAGCTGCGTTCGTCAATAAGTGCACAGTGAATGGAGAAGGGCAACGAACTCGCACCCGCACGTTTTATTTTTTGCAAGGGATGGTGCTTTGAATTCACAAGGTTAGGATGGCAAACGTAAACTGACAATATAATTTCCAGTCCAAAAAAGAATTGTATATTTTGTGCACCAATTAATTAAACCCGTGCGGTCATTGCCGACGCAAATCTGACTGACCCAGACCAAATCCACAGTTTTGGCTTCCTATTATATTTCCTCACAGTACAATTTCAAACTTACGCACCCAAATGGCAGATTGTTCTCGCGTACACTTTTTCCGATGAAACGCCATAATGCGAATATACTCCTGTAAAACCAGCCATCAAACAATACAGAGAATTGAGATTTCCCCAGTGATTGTCTCGGCGAGTCGCGTCAAACCATTCAAAAGCAACGTGCGAGGCATTTGCATCGCCACATACGCTCCATTGTGGTGGCGAAGTTCCTCTCACTTCCGGATTTTTACTACCGGATCTGGAGTCTTCGCATGATATTTCAATATCGCTAAGTGATACACCGTCAGCTATTTACACGAAGAACCAACGCGCTTTCGCACTCTCCACGATTGAAAGCCAAAAGGAAAAATTAGGCGGGGTTTTACCGCATTGTTTTTTTTTTGCTAAATTCCAATGGATCGGGAATGGTGGAGGCGCCGGGAAAACCCAAAAATTTCGAATCGGGTGTTTAATAATTTAATGGAACTTTATGGTAATGATTGAAGTGTCTCAAGATTATTTTTTTTTCAGGTGAGTGTGTGTGTCCCCCCACACATGCCTAGGCTTCGCTATGAGCTCGCAAGGTTCGTATGTGTTGAAATCAGCGCCCAGCATGCAACCAACCATCCGCCGTCTCCCAGCTATCGATCACGACTTTCAACCTCTTCCCTAAGCTTCCCTCGTGTGAGCCATTGTGCAGCACGTCGTTAATTGAATTCCAGCAGCTCGAACTCCAAAACGAATAATTCTTTTTACAATACCTCTTCGCGCATTATCCGCCGGCTTTGCCACCTCCAACTAATTCCGAACTAGAACTACCACAATTTTGAGTCGTAAAGTTTTGACACAAATTATTATGGGCTTTAATTGCATCTGTGTGAGCCAACAGACAACAGGCATTGTGAATCAGAGTTAGTCCGGGAATTACGGATAATAGGCCTTGGCGAGGGCGCGCCTTGGGGATTCGTCCAGACTAGGAAGTTGCTTCAGTGCTCATCCCTACAGCAGAATAGATTCCTTCCTATTTAACTCGAACAAACAGATTTCGTTCCAGTAAATCTGTTCCGCCCAGATCTATGGATTAAACTTATTATTATCCGAAAGATGCGAGCGCCGACAGGGTTATTAAGCAAATAATGGAGGCGGTGATTCTTTAAGCCACCTGGCCGAAGGGCGCAATACGGGGCTTATGTGGAGGTCTTTATTTAACGGGGAACGTCACCGGAGTGAAGGGTTATTACATTATTTATCGACTTTTTTTAAATTTATACCAAAATTACGAAAAATATGGAGAGAAATAGCTAGTAACATTTAATTAGGTTTTTGGTATATATAATGCAATAAATACCAAATGTACACCACTAACTATCCAACGTTCAATATTACAAATTCAAATGGATATTTATTACGTCGTTGCTAGTAAAACAGAAGTTACAACATGTTTTATTACTGTAATTTCAGGCTAAACAGGAAACTAAAAACGTCATCATATTTATATTGCCGATCCTGAAAAAGTGGTAGGAAATTTCGAACCGGAAAATAGTTTCTGGGGGATTGAATTTGGGAGAAAATCTCATGTTATTTTCGAAAGCGATCAAAAAAAGTCAAAATTTTCATGAAATTGAACTTTTCGTAAAAGTTGTCTAAAAATCCCCAAAAAAATCTGGAATATAGTTTATCCGTGCAGTTTCCAAAGTTATAGCCTGTTTATGGTCCTCAGAGCAAGATTTTCGAAATAATCAACTAGAAAATCAAAATTTTTAAAAATTTCATAAATTGTATTGATGATGCGATTTTTCGAAGAATTGAGGCCAAAAATAGTTTCTGGAGCCCGAAATCTATGAAAAAGATCCCATTCGATAATTGTCGAATGTGGTCGATGAAAGTTAAAAAATTTGAAAAATAGGAGTATAGAAAAATTGACTTTTCAGAAAAATTGGCCACAAATCCCTAAAAAATTCTGGAATACAGATGTGCACACGCTATTTCGAAAAATGTAGCATATCTATGCTTTCAAAGCAAGAATTTTCGAAATAGCCAGCTTGAAATTCATAGTTTTTAAAAATTCCAAAAGCAGTCATTAGTTTTATTGACGATTCTAGGAAAATTGTGCGAATTTTCGAAGAAATTGAACCGAAAATAGTTTCTGGAGACTAAAATCAATGAAAAGATCTCAATTATCCATGGTAGTTGAAAAAAATGTCAAAAATTTCGTATTGATAAATTGAGATTTCAGAAAAGTTGGCCAAAAATACCCAAAAATTTCTAGGTTATGTACCTCGACGTGCTATTTCGCAAAATATAACTCTTTATGGTCTCAAAGCAAGATTTTTGAAATATTTGGCTTGAAAATCAAAATTTTTCAAAACTCCAAAAATCGTGATTTTTGGCGATTTTAAAAAAATGGTGGGAATTTTTGGAAGAATGAAGACAAAAATAGCTTCTGGGGACCGAAATCCATAAACAAACTCTATAGCTAATTTTTGAAGGTGGTCGAAAAAAATCAAAAATTTCAGAAAATTAGGTGTACAAAAAAATTGACCTTTTAGGAAAGATGACTAAAAATTCATAAAAAATTCTATGATATAGATCTTTATGTCCTGTTTCGAAAAATATAGCGTATTTATAGTCTCAAAGCAAGATTTTCGGAATACTTAACTTAAAATCAAAATTTTTAAAAATTTCAAAAATTGTCACAATTCAATCGGCCAAAAGTGGCACTAATTTTCGACGAACTGAAGTCAAAAATAGCTGTTGAAGCTCGAAATCTATTAAAAACAAATCCATTAGATAATTGTCGAAGGTAGTTGATAAAAGGTCAAATATTTCAAAAATAAGAGTATGGAAAAGTTGACTTTTTAGAAAAATTGTCCGCAGATCCCTAAAAAATTGTATAATACAGATCTAAACATGCTATTTCGAAAAATTTTGTATGTGTATGGTCTCAAAACGAGAATTTTTGAAATATCCAACTTGAAATTCATAGTTTTTAAAAATTCCGAAATGTATCGTTAGTTTTATTGGCGTTTCTAGAAAAATTGTTTGAATTTTCGAAGAAATTGAACCAAAAAATTTCTTCTGGAGGCCAAAATCAATGAAAAAATCCCAATGGGTAATTATCTAAGGTGGTTGAAGAAAATGACAAAAATTTCGTAAGGGAAAAGTATAGATAAATTTAGCTTTCAGAAAAAGTGGCCAAAAATACTCAAAAAATTCTAGGTTACATATCTTGACGTGCTATTTCGAAAAATGTAACGTCTTTATGGTCTCAAAGCATGAGTTGCAAATATTCGGCTTGATTATTAAAATTTTTAAAAAATCCAAAAATCGTGATATTTTTTTGGCGATTCTGGAAGATGGTGGGAATTTTTGGAGGAGTGAAGCCGTAAATAGCTTCTGGAGGCCGAAATCCATAAAAAAAACTGAGTAGCTAATTTTTGAGGTGGTCGAAAAAAGCCAAAAATTTCAAAAATTAGGTGTAGAAAAAAATTGACCTTTTAGGAAAGTTGACTGAAAATTCACAAAAAATCCTATGATATTGATTTTGATGTCCTTTTCCAAAAATATAGCGTGTTTATAGTCTCAAAGCAAGATTTTCGGAATATTCAACTTAAAAGCAAAATTTTTAAATTCTGGAAAAGTGACACTAATTTTCAACGAATTGACGTCAAAAATATCCGCTGGAGCCCGAAATCTATAAAAAAAAAAACTCCATTAGATAACTGTCGAAGGGGATCGATGAAAAGTAAAAATTTCGAAAACGGGAGTATAGAAAAATTGACTTTTCAGAAAAATTGCTCACAAATCCCTAAAAAATTCTGGAATATAGATCTGGGCATGCTATTGCTAAAAATGTAGCATGTATATGGTCTCAAAGCGAGAATTTTTGTAATATCCAACTTGAAATTCATAGTTTTTAAAAATTCCAAAAGCTATCATTAGTTTTATTAGCGATTCTAGAAAAATTGTGGAGATTTTCAAAAAAATTGCACCGGAAATAGCTTCTGGAGGTCAAAATCTATGAAAAAACCTCAATAGGTAATTTTAGAAGGTGGTTAAAAAAATGTCAAAAATTTCGTAAGAGGGGAGTATTGAAAAATTGAACTTTCAAAAAAGCTGGGCAAACATACCTAAAAAATTCTGAATTATGTATAAAAAATATAACGTCTTTAAGGTCTTAAAGCAAGATTTTCGAAATATTCGACTTGAAAATCAAAATTTTTCAAAATTCCAGAAATCGTGATTTTTGGTGATTCTGGAAAATAGCTTCTGGGGAGCGAAATCCACAACAAAATCTCAGTAGCTAATTTTTTAAGTTCGTCGCAAAAAGTCAAAAATTTCAAAAAGTGGGTGTACAGGAAAATTGATCTTTTAGGAAAGCTGAATAAAAATTCTCAAAAAATTCTAGGATATAGATCTTGACGTCCTGTTTCGAAAAATATAGCATATTTATAGTCTCAAAGCAAGATTTTCGGAATAGTTAGCTTAAAATTAAAATTTTTAAAAATTTCAAAAATTGTAACATATTTCTATCGGCGATTCTGGAAAAGTGGAACTAAGTATTTTTAGACAAATTGAAGCCAAAAATAGCTATTGGAGCCCGAAATCTATAAAAAAAAATCCATTAGCGGTTCTAGAAAAATTGTGGCGATTAAAAAAAAAATTGAACCGGAAAAATCTTGTGGAGGCCAAAATCAATAAAAGAACAAAAGGTAATTATCAAAGGTGGTTGAAAAAATGTCAAAAATATCATACGAAAAGAGAAATATTGAAAAAATGAGTTTTCAGAAAAACTGACCAAAAATACCCAAAAAATTCTACGTTATTATATATCTTTGTCTCAAATTTTGGAGGAATCAAGCCGAAAATAGTTTCTGGAGGCCGAAATCTATGAATAAACCTCAATACGTAATTTTTGATGGTGGTCGAAAGAAGTCAGAAATTTCAAAAATTGGATCTTAGAAAAATTGACCTTTCGGGAAAGTTGACCAAAAATCCCCAAAAAATTCTGGGATGTAGAGCTGCAGGTGCCATTTCGAAAAATATATGGTGTTTATGGTCTCAAAGCAAAATTTTAGAAATATTTAGCTTGAAAATAATTTTTTTTTTAAATTCCAAAAATCGTTATTTTTTGGTGATTCTGGAAAAATGGTGGGATTTTTTGGAGGAATGAAGCCAAAAATAGCTTCTGGAGGCCGAAATCCATGAAAATGTCTCAATAGGTAATTTTTGAAGGTGGTTGAAAACAGTCAAAAATTTCAAAATCGACACACTGCTATTTCGAAAAATATCGCGCTTTTATGATTTCAATGCAAAATTTTCGAAATAGTCAGTTTGAAAATCTAAATTTTTAAAAATTCCAAAAACTGTTATTAGTTTTATTGGCGATCCTGAAAAATAGTGGCAATTTTCGTAGAAATTCAACCGAAACTAGCTTGTGGAGGCCGAAATCCATGAAAAATCTGAATAGGTAATTTTTGAAAGTGGTTGTATAGAAAAATTGATTTTTTACAAAAGGTGACCAAAAATTCTCAAACAATTCTGGGATATAGAATTGGACGTGCTATTTCAAAAAATATATCCC